AGTAGGTCAATATGTCACTATAGAACAGTTGTTAAAAAAAAACTTTTGGGTGTTTCATTCCCACTAGCCAGTAATGCTGGTGAGCGGGCAGTCCCTCCGGACTACGCCGGAAGGTAGGGCGGAAGGCCTTCTTCAGCCTCCATTCAGGAATCGTGGGAATGGATGGGTGGTGGTTCGTGTGAGAAAGTTGAGACGGACGAAATGAAGACAGAAGAGAATGAAAGATTATCTGTGGAATATTACTGCCTCAGCATTTGCCTATGTGATCCAAGGAAACCACAGAAAAACTTGGACCCAGGCAGACGGACCTGGAATTGAGCTGGCGTCCTCCCGAATGCTAAGCAATGGTCTAAACCTCTAGACCATGCCGCTCGGTGAACAGTTGTTGTAACAATGATGTGACATGATACTTTTTATGTGGAGAGGTCGAAATCATTGATTTCATAGAAGACGACCTCAAAAATAGTAGGGAACATTGACACCTCTCGTATGATAATGTGGCAAATTTTAAAGGAACAGTTGCTGCATCATATTCGCTTGCTAGAAACTGATTTTCAGTCGCAAGTGGATTTGTATCAGTGGCTTCAAAAACAAAGTGCTTTCTTTCACAGGGTATTGTTTACAGACAAATGTTTCTGCTTATGTTCCTTTATATATATTAGTGAAAACAAAGTGCCAGTATGAGCATTTTGCGCTTTGGCATCCTAGCATGGTTAACATATCGCTTGTCCTACCCCTCATGGAGCGTTATCGTTTTTTGGCATAGAATGCCTTGGGTGCGGAGTTACCTCTCCTGTTTTTAGCCGTGTTGGTCTACTGTACAACAATAACGTATCTTTCCATTTTAGAGGATACCTAATGCTCCAACGTGAATGTTGAAGTCTAATACCTATTTGAACTAAACTGCTACATTTACTTAATAATAAATATTTTAAAAATATTACAGCTTGAAACTAAAAAGTGCAATATTTATCATGCAAATATTAGATCAGCGTGGGTGCTAAAAGAAAACAATATAGGTACATACGTTTCAACCTAATTGAGTTACGTGCTGTGAGCTTATGAAAAAATAACACTTCTGTTTTTAATCAATAAACGGTGGCAGTTGTTCTAATAAAATCTAAGCGGTGGCTTAAATTCATAGCACAAACAATAATACAGTACCTACTAACCCATTGTACATGTTTTCTACTTCGAATAAGTCATTCTTCTAATACATTAATGGAAACATTGAAAACTATTATGAGGTCTGATCAGAAATTACTTTAAAATAATTCGAAGTGGTCTGTATTCTGTCGAAACTGCCAGACGCGGATCGCGATTTCGATCTTTTTGGATCTCATCAGCGCGGCGCAGGCAGCT